ATGAGTTTGGAACCTTTGAACAATAACATTGAAGCTCAAATGCAGTTCTAGAAATCCCAGAATTCGTCGTGTCTGCTCGAGGGAGGAAAGCCTCGCTTGAGCGTGAAAATCGAGCTCTTAGAAGTTTTCTGAAATTTTATAGGTTGCTCGAGCGACCAGAGTGGCGCTCTGTAGACACCCCATTTTTGACCGACCTCAAGACTTGGACGTCACCGTTTGAACACCCGGTGATCATCCATGTTTGTGTTCGTTTGGAGTTCCCGGAGGTCTCGGCTACGCGCCTTGCCTCAGGATCTCCGAACTTGACTGTTTTGTGCTTGGTTCGACACCAAACACTTGTGTTTTGCCTTTGAGAGGCAGGGTAGGGCTTGTAGACCACCCCCACCCATCACCGGCCGTGGCTTGAGGCCACCGGCTGTGTTTTGTGGCCACCGGCCAATTATTTGGCCGGCCGGCACTATAGATGGCCGGCCGGCTATCTTTTTTTGGTCAATTGCATTTTTGGCTGGCCGACTACTGTGTAGCTGCTTTTGCAGATATTTTGACACAGCTGTCTTGCATTTGGCTCCCCTCCATACAAGTGTATGGAGGGATCTCTCTCTTTAGAAGCTTGTCTTGTAAGCTTTACAAGACAAGAAGCTCTATAAGAAGAGCCCTCCTCTCCCTTGTTTAGGTTGGAGAGTTTAGACAGCCATATTAGGGTTTTGAGTTCTAGGGTTAGGATCCATACACATTCTATCTCTATACCTCTCCCTCTTTTTATCTTTGTGTGTGTTTAAGTGTGTTTGTGTCTTACTATTGCACACAAACACATAGTGTTTCACCTTCCCTTAGCTACTGAGGTTCTAAGAGGTTGTTCTTGAGGTTCTTGGGTGGTTTTGAGCTTGGAGAAGCAGCTGGTCCACCATTGTTGAAGAGGGTCTTCAAGGGTAACAATTTTTCCTTTTTATTCCCCATTCTTGCATTGTATTTTTACCTATCTTAGAACTGTTTTTGTGCTTACTATATAACATAAAAAAGTTCTATTTTTAAACCCTCTAAATAGTTTATTTAGAGTGTTTTGTGGTTTGGAGGTGTTTGACCCCTCTTAGGCCTTGAGAGGCCCCATTTTGAGCCATTTTGAGTGAGCTTCGGGACTTTGGTGTTTGGGCCTCCTCACCACTGAAATCTTGAGGGATTTCAGTGGTAAGGATGGTGCCTTGAAGTCCCAAGAAGGAGAGGGCCACCCCCTCTCCTTGTTGTCCTTGAAATGGACCATTTTTGGCCTCTTGAGGGAGCACCTAGCTAAGCTCAATGTTGACCATGCCTTGGCTGTTTTTTGTGCTTATTATGTCATATTATGCCTCTGTTTTTTAGTTGGTTTTGGTACACCATGCATGCTTAGCATACCTACCTTGTAATGCCATGTTTAGGCCTTAACATGCCTTAGGTTGTAAACCGTCGTTCGAGCATGTTTTAGGCCTAGCTTTGTGAAGCTTTTGTGCTTATTTTGCCATGTTTAAGGTCTGTCCATAGTTGTTTGGGTCGTCTTTGCCATGCATTATATACCCCCTTTGCATTTTGGCTTGTTGGCCTCAAGTGTGTGAGTATGTAGCATGCACTACTTGCTTTATTCTAATGATTTGGCATCATTTATAGCATAATTTCAGTCCCTTTGACATGCTTGTATGCTTGCTTTGGACACCTCTTTCAAGCTTTGGAAGCTTGTCTTGCATGCTCCATGTTTTGGTCATTGTGCATGCTTTTGATTTTAAGCCATTTAGATGCCATCTAGGTGTCCCTTGGGTGTTGTTTAGGTTTGCACTAGACCTATTTTAAGTCCTCTTAGCCTTGTAAGGCTTGGTTGATTTAGTCTTGGTTTAAGCCTCTCGGCTTGCCTTGGGTTTTTGGCTTTGTTTGCATGCCTTGTTTGTCTTGTTTAATTGGCTTAGCACCTTTTGTAACATGATTTTCAATGCTTACCTTGCATGCCATTAGTCCATGCTTAGCCTCTTTTAAATATGCTTGAAAGCTGCCCTTGTTTGCTTAAGTATAGGCCCATTAACATGTGCATGTGTGTAAGTGTGTTTGGTCCCTTTTCTTAAGTTTTTAGCCACTGTTTTGGGCCTAATTAGAGCTGCCCAAATCATGTTTAAGTCCATCTCTTGGTTTGTTGCATGTTCTCCTTGTATATTGTAGCATATTGGTGAGTTGTTGCATGTTTGAAATCACATGATTGAATGAAGTCACATGTTGGCTTACATGCTTGAATGCCTACATTAGTCTTGCACACTTGTTAGTTGCATTGCTCTATGCCTTGCATTTCTTGCATGCTCATTTGCATTGCCGTATTGCATGCCTAGTTAACAAGCTTAGGTTGCATTGCATTGGCATGCATGCTTGGCCTCTTGACTATCCATGATAGAGGTTACGTCCCCATTGGTTTGGTTGTGTGCATTGCATTTCATTCGACATGGAAATGCACACTTGGTCCCTTGGGCCATCACGCATGGAAATGCGCGATTGATGGTCCGAGAACCGAGGAGCATGTTCCTTTGAGTCATTACCATGATAAGGGACATGATTGGTGCATACATTGCTTGAATTGTATCGCCATGCTCTGCCTTGCCCTCTGTTGCTGTCAATTGCAGGTTCTGCAAGAATCCTCTGCTGGCGGGCAGTACCAAGTGCCGACCGGCAATCCTCCCTCGGCCGATGGCTTTATCAATGGCCGGTGACCACATTCCATTGCCGGTGGCAATTCCATTCAGCCGGTGGTGTCCCCCAATGTCCAAGGAAGCAGTCCTGAGACTTTGGAAGTCTCCAGAGGAGTATATCAAGGAAAACAGAGGCAGCCTAGGCATGGCAGCGCACTTCCGAGCAGGACCGAGCATGCATCGCATCGAGCTCTCCTCCCGAGGCGGTTTATCTGTTTTCCCTAGATTAGTTAATTTGCTTAGCTAATTAGATGGTCTGTAATATTTAATTAGCTTGTAGGTTAATTATTTGTAATATTTTTTCGGTCCCTCCAAGCGAGGGCAAATCTGTAATAAGTGTGGGTGCGTGTGTGTGCATGTCTTCCAATCCCCACTTCTTTCTTCCCTTTTTACTTACCTGCTTTGATGGTTAGTAATAGGACATATTTAAAATTAGCATACATTATGCTATGCATGCGTGCATTCATGCATTTGTATTGCATGTACCAGGCTCAGTACATCATGCTAACTGCATTTGTAGTTCAATTCCAAATTGAATACGTGCATCAATTGACTGCATTTCACATGCCATGCTTAGGTTAGCCGAGCCTACTCTAATTGCATCTTGCATGTGTTGCATTAGCCATTTTGACATGAACTAGGATCACGCATGTTTGCTAACTAGTTTATTATTTTGGCACGGAGTACATTATAAGTATTTATGCTTTAGCATACCGCATGCGTGTGAGTGTTGCCATGACAGTATGCTTGTCATGCGGCTAAATGCTTACGTGATATTACTGATTGATTGCTTGTGGGTGAAGGTTGGATTGGCTGAGTTGGAAAAACTAGTTGAAATCCGTATTTTAGCCTACTTGCGAGTAGCAAATTCCGAAACGTTTTTCAAAATAAACGGATATGCAATGCTTATTTCTAAGTTAGGCGATCTAGCCTATACTTGTTTGTCGTGCACATAACATAGTAATTCTAGGCTAATAATTGGGGATAAGAACACATAAGGTTTTCAAAACTAGATATCACGATTAGTAGAGGCCGATCTTCGGATCGGGCGAGAGGGGGTGCTCATAGCTGACCTTCCCCAATCGTACCCAAGCTCCCGAGCCGAGGCAACTTTGGCAATGACGGACACGTGGCCTTCGACACCAAGTCAGGGTTTCCTAAATTTTCCCATTAAAAAATATTTAGGTGGCGACTCTGTATCTGGAAAAGCAGTCCATGTTTGGCACTTCTTTCAAAAATCTGTTTTTCTCAAAACGATTTGCCGGATTTGGACTCTTTGGTTCGGATTAGGAACCGTGACAATTCGAGAGTCCGAACTGTAGTAAGCCCACATACGAACAGAACGGGACTCATCCTCTCGGGATGTTCAGAGACGTCTACACGCTCGAGCGACCGTCGAGCGGGAATTTCATACAACCAGTACTTTTGCAGACCGCTCGAGCGACCACCTCTGTTTTTGATCCTCAGCTTGAGAGTGGATTCTGTTTTCAGCAAATTTTGAGAAACTCTTTTAAGTGCATATTTGCATCCTCATGTCACTCCAAGCATTCTTAGATACCATTTGGACTCCTATAATGTTAGAAACACATAAAGAGAATTGAAGTAAATGAAATGGAGTTTCAATTGTGCCTTTGTTATGTGTTTTGTTCAGGTGGACATCTGTGGCTTAGCGACAACACAGACCACTGTGAGTAATAACCTTATAAAGATATGTTCAAATTATCTTTACTTTCGAAAATGTTAGTGCTATCAAAAGGGACATATGATATATGATTGATTAAATGAATTATTAAAATGATTTGATAACTGATAGCATGGCTTATTGAAATGTTATGTCTTTAATGAATGAAGTTCTGTCTTGAAACGGTATTGTGGCATCCATTAAATGTAGGCCCTTGCCTGGGGGTAACAATATCATGGCTAGGCCTTTGCCTGGGGGTAACAATATCATGGCTAGTATGGTCCGTTATCATTGGAATATTATTGTTTCATGGATGTGCCACAAATAATGTTATGAATGGCTTTTGTTACTGTAAAGAGATGCTATGATTGCTAACCGAAATGTTCTACCTTTTATAATGGATTGCTTAGAAAAATGAAAGATATGTTTCGATATGGGATTCAACATGGAAAATGTTTCGTTGTGAATTTGATTTACTGTGGCAAATGTCTCCCTTTGAAAATGATTTAAGATTCGTTTCGAAATTGTAAGGCATGTTTTTGTACTATCGTCGAGCTTCATTCATTTAACCTCTTTATTCTGTTATTACTCATTGGGCTCTAGCTCATTTGACCTTTCTTGAAACTATTGTGCATTTTACGAGTGTCTTTTGGCACTTGCGTGACAACTTGTGACTATATTACAAGGTTTCAGGTCACAGATTCGGATTATTCTAGTGTGAGCTTGGGGTGAATGCAATCTTAAATCTGTAAGGCTTGCTTTTGTAGGACAACTTGTGTGATATGTGGCCATAAATATAACAATTCAATTGAAAGAAAGGTTTGGAACCTACCACTTGCTAGGTCTCATGGGCAGCTTAGGTGCCAAAATCATCCAGATAAAATGATGTTAGCCGCTCAATCTCAGTATGACTTGGATGTTGTGAAATCTTAAGCCTGAAGCCCAAGACGCTTATGCCTCGAGAGGTATGTCTCTCTACTACACCCCAAAAAGTCTTAAGCCTTTTCTTATTTCATTAACTACTTATATAAAAATAAAAATAAAAACCCATTAAACTACTGTCATATCTCTTTTTCCATTTTTTTTTCCCTTCTGATTTTTGTTTTTGGGTTGGAGGGGTTAGGAGGTAGTAGTTCTTTTTCATGGATTAGGTTTGGTTGTTTTCTCATCTTCCTCTCTTTCTTTTCAATCATTTTCTTTTCCTTTCTTTTTGTCTAGCTACTTATTAATTTTCCTTTCGTATTTGTTTTCCTATATGTTTTTGATGAGAGCAAACGGTGAGTTGGAGTTTTCTTTGATCATCGCCACACTCTGGACAACCAATCAATCGCTCCGATTGTCTTTCTAAAAATCCCAGCATTTCGAGGTACCCATTCCATTCCGATTTCTCTTCACCATTTCTTTGATTTTAATACTCATATATACAGAGTATATTCATATATATCCGTAAAATTGATTTAATTATTCTTTTTTCTTTGTAATAATGAATTAGAAATGCTTGCTAATCAGGTCCATAAAACTCTGATGATATGTTTAATTATTCACTATTCATACTTCAAATCTCCATTTCAATAGCCAAGTTATCATTGCAAAAGGGGAAAAAGTTAAGTTGGTATCAATGTCAGATAGAAACATTGAAAATGTCATTTTTTTGTTCCACAAGGTCTTGTAGGAATATAAACCCTCAACGAAATAAACAAAAGAAGAAGAAAACAAGGATCCTAACGGTGTATCCCCCCATGACCTGATAGGTTATTTTCTAATTTTATTTATTTGTTAATTCTGTTAAGCTTGACAGGGAAAGTCTATTCTCTTAAAGGACTAATTATGAAGCTGAGGAATCTAGATACCTATTTAACAAGAAACAAATTCAGCAAAACAATTTCTTTTGCTGATAAAGGATGTCAATGCTTGATGATGATACACTGTGTGCCCTTAATAGTGAGAGATTGATATTTACTCTTAGAACCAATCAACTATATTTTTACGTTTGAATGTAATATAAGTAGACATTTGCTGAAGGATGCTCCAAGGTATTCATGGCTTCATTTGTGGGCTTTCATCAAATGAGTTTCTAGCATTTTTTTCCTTGTTGACATTTCTATTATTGTAATCATTTGCTTGATGGGTCAAACACAAATACAAGTATAGAGTAATATGCTAATCAAATTGACTTGTATAGTTTTGTATTTGTATTTATGTCTGGCGTATTAGTTTATGTTTGTTATGAAGCCAAAGTATCAGTTTTGATTGGATGCATTTTCATTTTATTGCTTTCGTTCTATTTTCATCGTTGAAGGTTATGATTAAAAATTTGAAGCAAGTAGTGAACGTGGTTTTGAATTCATTCCAAGATCCTCATCCTCGAGTGTGATGGGCAACTATTAATGCAATTGGACAGTTGTCTTCAGATTTAGGCCTAGATTTGCAAGTTCAATATCATCAATGTTTGCTACCAGCTTTGGATGATTTTCAGAATCCCCGCATCCAGGTTAGTTCTTTTGGTGCTTTGACAATTGTAAATTTTAGATGGTTACAATTGATTTTTTATCTTGTCCTTGGTCCTGCAAATATCAATGGCATGATTAAATCTGGTATGTATTTGGTGAGTCACTTTTAGGTATTTTGCTTTTACTTTTTACTTATATTTTCTACTTTCAAGGATTTATATTGACAAGTTTGGTAGTCCCTGATATATTCTCCAGTTTGGATTTTACGTTTTTTTTATACCAATTACTATGGATCAATGTGATTTTGGTTGTTCACTTGTGTTTTGGCGATTTACATTAACAAACTTTGAAATACTTCTATAAGTAATGGTGTGATACCCCTGTTCCGTAATGTCCTAATTGGTCCTTAATATGAATGTGATTATGTGTTTTGACATGATTGTGTGCGCCATTATGTGAAAATATGTGGTTTTGAATTTCTATCTGTTCACCGTAGGAATATCTACTTGATTATCTGCTTTGGAAATTAAATTGAGGGCCTTATCGGCCACAGAACCCGAAATTGATTACGCCATTGAATTTGGCATAATTTTTAGAACCTACGGTGAAATTTAATTGAAAACTGATTCAGTTCAAATTAATCAGATTTAATTAATGATTTAATGCTCAACTATTTTATGTTAAAATAATGTATATGAGTGGGGCTATACTATAAGCCTTATAAAGTTCAATTCCCTCATTTTACATGACTTTGGCTGATCAACTCTAAGAAAAAAAGGAGAGGGCCGGCTGTTAGAGAGAGGGAGGGAGAGAATTGTATAAATTTGGACTCAAGCTTGGAGACTTGAAGTCTAGTTCAAGAATTAACCATAGATTGGGCTTCTAGGTAAGCATTGATTCTTGAATTCACAAATTTAAGGTGTAATCTTGTGTGTTCAAAGTTAATCAATGGTCAAGAGCATGTTTTGAATTTGTTTTGTTGAATTGGAAGACCATATATGCATGCATGTATGTATGTAATTGTTTGGAATTTGCATGATTGAGCTTGAATTACATGATTCATGTTACAATTTGGTTGAAATCCATGTAAATTTGTAGTTGAAGCTCATGTATAGTCACCATTGGTATCATCTAAGTTGAGAATGGGAGCTAGACACCACATGCATGTACAATCTATGAAGATAAGAGCTTTGAATGCATAAATGTGTATGTTAGAATTGAGTTTGGTGTCAATTTGAGTCATGCATGTGTTAAATCTTTGAAATTGAGCTCCATGATGATGTGTTTTGATGTTTATACCATGTTAGTACAAGTATGTGTGGAATTGGAGCTATAAAATGCATGAATTGTTAGTTGAAAGTCGAAATGAAACTCAAGAACACAATCTGGGATTTCCATAATTTTGATGTCCGCTCGAGCGGGAAATACGTGCTCCCAGTACTTTTTGCAGACTTTGTGTCCGCTCGAGCGGGGTAATTCACGCTCGAGCAGGGGAGCTTCGTAGACAGGCCTTCCGCTTGAGCGCCCTATTTCACGCTCGAGCGTATTTTTCATGCAACCAGTACTTTCACAGGCCTTAAGGGTCCGCTCGAGCGGGGACCCTGTTTTCTGAAATTTTGTTTACGCGTTCTGTGTTTCGTTTTCCGTCCTCTTTCACTTCTAATCACTCTTGGGCATACTTTGAGCATTGTAATTGAATTAAAGAGATAAGAATGAAGCCTAAAGAGGAAAATGTGAATTAAAGAACGGATTAAATTAATTGTGACCCATATGTGTTATGTGATGTGTAGGGTCAAGCTTCAGGGCAAATCCACAAGCCGGTCACTGTGAGTAATATCTGAATTATGTTATTGTCCAATTGCTTACTTCTACGTAAGTTTTGTAAAGTTCATCAATGTTGAATGGTGGACAAAGTTTGAAATGAAAGTCTGAAAGGCTTAAATGCCAGTTTGATATGACAAGTTTGAAAGGCTTAAATGCCAGTTTGAAATGAAAGTCTGAAAGGCTTAAATGCCAGTTTGATATGACATGTTTGAAAGGCTTAAATGCCAGTTTGAAATGAAAGTCTGAAAGGCTTAAATGCCAGTTTGAAATGAAAGTTTTGAAAGGCTTAAATGCTAGTTTGATATGACAAGTTTGGAAGGGCCGAAAGGCCAGTCTGATACGGAAATTTGATAAGGCCAAAGGGCTATTCTAATATGAACGTTCGAAAAGGCCAAAGGCCAGTTGACATGAATGAATTGGGCCCAAGGCCATCTGATGTATAATGTTCCAATGTATTTTCTTTATTTGATATTATTCACTGGGCTATCGCTTACGCTCATTCATGTGTTTGTAGGTGAGCCAAGAGAGGTCCAAACTCAGCCCCAGTGAAGTCCGTGTAGAACAATCGAGTTTTGGAGAGTCAACCCATGTGTCTCACGCATGAGACTCGTCTTCGCCTTTTGTCATTTTGTTTTATGTTGTCATATTGGCGAAGTCTTTGTATATGTTGTACATAGTTTTCAGGGGTTGACTTAGTTTTTGAATGATCCTGTCTGTACAGAACCTTATGGTACTGAGTATCTATTGTGAGTTATTAATGTATATGTGTATGGTTTGTTTTCTTTATGTGCCATGTAAGCACAGCTCTAAGGACAAAGTTTTAAATTGCTTCCGTTTGGCCCCCATTAACTCTGTTAAGATACGTTGTTTTGGTTTGAGGCCGTAAGTAATCTTATGATTACTGGCCGGTTATGTCCTTAACCCACGGGGACGGGTTCGGATCGTGACAAATGGTGAGGGCTTCATTCGAAAAAACTTTCTTGAGAGCCAAAACCTTGGTACTTGAGATCAATTTTTTCCCTATGAATGGGTGTCTATACTACCAAATATTTGCATCAAATGGCTAAAAATAACTTAGATTCCAAATCAATAGTTATTTTCCGACTTCCAAATCTAAAATTTCAGTTACAGCAGAAACTATGTAAAACAAATAGGGTGAAATAAAAGCGTGTCATGAGCCTAAGGGAAAATGGTTAGAGTTCTGCTAGATGTAGATAAAGCGGGCTATTGAAGTGGGTGGGAGGATGTAACAAACAACATAGGACAAAAAATGTTACTGTTTGGAAAAAAATGTTTTTAGAGTTACAGCCAAACATTGAAAAACAAAATAAATGTAAATTATTTTACATGAAATTATTTTTGCTGTAAATTATTCAAAGCAAACAGAGCTTGAAACAAATAGAAGTTTCCTTTAATTATGTTGTAAATGATGAATTTTTTTTTTTTGTTTTTTTGTTTTTTTTGCAGATGCAACATTTTTGAGTACGTGATGATATCTTCACATATCGATATTAGAGTTTACTATTGATATCAAAACAAGATATAATATATATGCTTTTTTATTTGTATTATCGATACTTTTGTTTTGTTTTAAATACAAAAATTTGAGTTCTTAAATATCAAAAAAAGATTAGTAATGTTGGAGGATATTTTATATATTTTTGTAAAGAATATTTGGTTAACAATATTGTTACATGGTACATATATATTATTCTTGGTATGATTTTGTGAATGTGGATGTACTTTATTTTAGAAAATAGTAATAATCGTTACAGGGAATGAATTAATAAAATATATATTTTGATTTTATGATAATAATTTTATTGCGACAATAATAAACTGTCGCTAATGTAATCACCATTATTAGCAACGGCTTAAACTGTCGTAAATACAATATTAAATTAATTCTATTTTTTGCGACGTTTTAGACCGTCGCCAATAATACTTTTTGTGACATCAAATATCATTGCTAAAAACGTTTTGGCGATGGCAACCAACATAGTCACTAAAAGTGAAGTTTTTCTCGCAAAAACCATTGATTAGCCGCCGCTATAAGAAAGCGACGATTTATAACCGTCGCAAATATTTTTTGTCACGTCCCCTTCCGTCACCCCCTATTTCCCGTTGCTACTCCGTAGCAAAACATCTGTGGCAACGGTATGTGGACTTTTTGCAACGTTTGAGATCATCGCAAAAGGCCCGATTTTTAGTAGTAATCTTTCTCTTTAATAATATGTCAATGGTGTTTGATTTGCTCGGGATTACATCTATAAGCTTTTTGATATCATAAATATAAACTTAGGACTATTTTGAGAAGATGATTATAATCAGTTTTTTGTGAGAGAGGGAAATGAGTTATAATCTGGAAAGTAAATTATAACCCACTTCCCAAAAGAGGGCTTAACAACCACATATGGTCTTTTAGCAATGCAAACATTGGGACATATATATATATATATATACAAGTAAAATAAACAGCATCCAACTGTTCAAACATGAACGGTTAGGCAAAATGGATCAAGTTAGATAAAATGCTTCAAAATAGCTTTTATGTTGAAGATGTTATTAGAAACGAGCCCACTCGTTGTTGTTGTTATTGTTTTTTTTTTTTTAAAAAAAAAAAATAAAATAAAATAACTTAGGAGCTAGTCTGAGTCCGGTAAAATGTCAACCCCTTAAAAATTATTGCCATGATATATGTGGAAGAATTTGGGAAGGATATTGCCACAACATCAAAACTAAAAAAAAAAATTGAGTATTGTCAACTCGGTCTGAAGAAGAATTGGGAGGATTGGGTACAGCAACCTAAAGATTTTCTTCATTGTGAAAAAAGTTATTTTTCGAATTTGCATAATTCATCTCTACTACGAGTAGGAGATGAATTGTGTTTAAATATTCATTTTTAAATAAAATAATATAATATACTATAGTATAAGTACAACAAGTGTTATAGATCAAGATAAGTAAGATGCTATTTAGCCAATAACTTGAGAGGCATAAACCGTAGGGGGTTGGCCTGATGGTCAAGACTTGGGCCTACGGTGTACTCTTTTCATGGTCTAAAATTCAAAACCTCCTAGATACAAACAATTTCTTCGGGTAAGTTCATACGGGACTTTGCCTTAGCTTTAAATGAACCCCCCTTAGTGGACAATGAGATGGTCCCGCAAATTAGTCTGTCCTTTGAGCCGAATACCAAATCATATAAAATAAAAAAAATAAAAAATTGAGAGGCATAAATATTAGTCCCAAGAATACAGGAGTCTTTTGGGAAGCACAAAAAAAAGCTAACTTTTAATCTTTTATCCATTTTGGGTCACATTACCTCTCACATTTTTTACTCACAAAAAGACAAAATAAACTAAAGACTTTGCTGGGGACCCCCAGTGCCACATGGGGCTCTGCCATTGGCTGAAAGCAA